ACAACAACAACAACAGCAGCAGCAGCAGCAGCAGCAGCAGCAACAACTAAAACACCACCACCACCACCACCAACAACAAAAGCAAACAAACAAACAGCCAGACATCAGCATGATATCACCAACCACTAGTTTTGATGTACACAGACCAAGGTTTGGGCGGGTTTTTCTTTCTTTCATTGCAGTTTGTTAATACATGTAGATCTATGTGGTATCTCTTGTGTTGCCTCCAACATATTTTATAGAGATTCAGATTCTAAATGTTGAGAAAAAGCAAGCATGTAGGCATGATAATTGTTACATCATTATGGTCGAAACTGCTCTAATGATCACCTGTCCAAGACAACCACTGAAACAGACTACCACCTTCCATCCCTCCTTTTTCCACCGTCCATCCCTCCCTTCTCCCACCTTCCATCCCTCCCTTCTCCCACCTTCCATCCCTCCCTTCTCCCACCTCCCCATCCCCCCCCTTCCCCCATGCCTTCCCGATTGTGCTGTATCATAACTACACTGCCCTGCATGTCTCCCTGAACATGACAACCGTTTTTCTCCTCACAATTACATGACCGTCTTGGACAAGTTCCACTTTATGAGCGGAGGCGACCTCTTAAATATCCTAATTTATGTTGAAAGAGCACTTTAAAAAACCCGAGAAAAGACGTATGAAATCGTGACCTACTTTCCCCCAAAGAAACAGTCCAAGATGGTCTCCTGTCCTATGGTGGCCTTGACCTCTCGGCTGACGTACTGCTCCACAGGGGCCAATGTTTCTGAAAATAGAACAGTGCATTCAGCGGGGTGTACACTCGTTCGATCTGTCGGGTCCGTTAGATCGAATCGGAGCAAAATGTCGAAATGGTGTCTGTACACTTTTCAAACAGAATTGAACACGGACATATTTTACTTCCAAACCTCAATACGGTCCAAATGATGGAAACCCTGGACAAAGAGAAAGGCGAATATTATATAATTTGTGTGTGTGTGTGTGTGAGAGAGAGAGAGAGAGAGAGAGAGAGAGAGAGAGAGGGGGG